AGCTGACAATTCTTGGGGGTAAGGGAATGTGGGGTGTGGGAAGAGATTAGACAAAAATCTTACACCTATGGACAAGGACAGTGACGGGGGGTAAGGGCATGGGGTGGGTGGGAAATGGGTTGAGAAGAGGAAAAAAGAGGAACATCTGTAATAATCTGAACAATTAAGATTTATTTTTTTAAAGCTATGAAAAAATATATATGAAAAAGAGTGAATGGAGTGATAATCTTAGACTAGGTGGATATGAAAGGTCTCTTTGAGGAGGTGACCTTTAACCTAAAATCTAAACTTGAAAGAAGAAGACAACATGTAAAACAATAAATGAAGAGTTTCAGGCAATCTGAAATTATTAAAGAACTCCAAGCCTTGAGTTTCATTTAAAAATTATAAAAGTCACCAATAGTTTTGAGAAAACTTTTACCAAACAAAACTTCAAATGCATAGGACATCTTGTTCCTGAGAGCATAAATAGAGAAAGTATTAAACTTGGCAATATTTTTATGGATTAATACATATTGTATCAGTGTTTACTTCTATATTATTTATTTGTATATATGTATATTTTTATTATATTCAAATATATATACTAGAGGCCTGGTGCATAAATTTTGTGCATTGGGCAGGGGGGCGGTCCCTCAGCCCAGTCTGCACTCTCTTCAATCTGGGACCCTCAAGGGATGTCCAACTGGCCGTTTAGATCCAATCAGTAGAATTGAGCCTAAACAGGCAGTCTGACATCCCTCTCATAATCTAGGACTGCTGGTTCCCAACAGCTCACCTGCCTGCCTTCCTGATTGTCCCTAACCACTTCTGCCTGCCAGCCTCATCACCCCCTAACCACTCCCCTGCTAGCCTGATTGATGCCTAACTGCTCCCCTGCCAGCCTGATTGCCCCTAACTGCCCTCCCTTCAGACCTGGTCCCCCGCAACTGCCCTTCTCTGCAAGCCTAGGTCCCCCCCAAACCACCCTTCTTTGCAGGCCTGGGTCCCTCCCAACTTCCCATCCCTGCAGGTCCAGTTGTCCTCAACTTCCCTCCTCTGCCAGCATGGTCATCCCTAAGTGCCCTCCCCTGCAGGCTTGATCACCCCAATTGCCCTCCCTTGCAGGCTTGGTCCCTCTAACTGCTCTCCCCTTCTGTTCCTGATCTCCCATAACTGCCTTCCCTTGCAATCCTGGTCCCTCCCAAGTGCCCTCCCTGCTGGTCATCTTGTGGTGGCCATCTTGTGTCCACATGGGGCAGCCATCTTTGACTACATGGGGGCAGTCATTTTGTGTGTTGGAGTTATGGTCAATTTGCATATTACTCTTCTATTAGATAGGATAGAGATCTGGTACAGGGGAGCTGGCTGGTTTGACCTGAAGGGTGTCCTGGATCAGGGCGGGGATTCCCTTGAAGCATAGGGTGGCCTGGGAGAGGGGCCTGTGGTGATTTGCAAGCCAATCACACCCCCCGGCGACCCAAGCGGAGGCCCTGGTATCTGGGATTTATTTATCTTCTACAACTGAAACTTTGTAGCCTTAAGCAGAGGCCCAGGCAGGCCAGGTTGGGCAGAAAATTTGGCTTCCTCCATTGCCAGGGGAAACCCAAGCCTCCTGCTCTCTTTTGCTCTGTGGCTGCCGCCATAGTTGGTGGGTTAATTTGCATAATCATTCCTGATTGGCTGGTGAGCATGGCTTGTGGGTGTAGCACAGATACGGTCACTTTGTATGTTTCTCTTTTATTAGATAGGATTATTTCAAAAATGTCATGATGTCTTGGTAGAAAATAGATCATCCTATCTAATAAAGAGAGAATGTGCAAATTGACCATTACACCATCACAAAGATGGTTGCGCCCACAGCAGAGGTGGGGTTTCCATAACACAGGATGGCTGCACCCATAGTGGAGGCCGAGTTCCTGTAAGGAGCCTTAACGAGCAATCTAGAGGGACCTGAGGCTACACCCTTCCCCCACACGCCCAGCAGGGCTTGATGGGGGATCTCAGGCCAAGCCCCCTGACCCAGTGCCAGGCCAGGGGACCTGAGGCTGCGCCACCCCCCCACCTCCACCTGATGGGGCTTGACAAGGGCGGAGCTGGCCAGGTCTGGATCTTGCCCAATGAGTGTGGGACAGGCTGGGTCTGGGTCTCGCGTGATTTTGAGATGGCATGGGTGGGCAGGGACTTGACTCTGGGTCCAGCAGCGCACCCCAAACTCTGACAGGAGAAAGATTTTCATACACATTTCACTGATTTTCTTTCATCTCTGACACTTCTATTATATATAAAGGTCAAAGAACAAAATTAAAATATTTCCTCTAATAAATCCCCTTTTAACATGCACAAATTTTGTGCACTGGGCCACTAGTTATTATTATAATGTTTTCAGCAGCTTGTAAGAATACCAAAGACTATTCTAGCAATCCTAAAAAAAATCATGTCTACTCACATGAAGTACTGTCAGTTTCATCAGGACTAGAGCCCTGAACCATGATCTTTTCCAAGAGGTCTTGTTAAGACATAGGAGCAGAATAAAAACCTTTTCTATATAACACAGAAGGTCATTGACATTCCAAAGGCCATATCTTGAAGCACTTTCTTGATATTTAAACCAAAAAAAGATAAACTAGTACAGAATAATTAGACAGAAATTAGCTCATTTGTGGTTTAGTTAATGGCTAGTGTATATTGGGACTGTGGGGATGTGAGAAATCTTTCTAGTAAAGGCAGTCACCAGGATGAATTAATTGATTGGGTTAACATCGTCTTGTTTCCAGTTAGGCAGAATGATGTAGGAATAATGAGCACAGATAATGAAGTCAGAATGGTTAGAATAAAATCCAAACCCAATACTTTCCAACTACATAAACATTAAAACATTCTAGGAGCGTCAGTTTCCCCATCTGTAATATGGATACAACGTCTGCCTCAAAAAGTGGTTGTCAGGATTAAATGAAATAAGGTATGTGAAATTTTTTAGCATAGTGCCTAGAATATAGTAAGAATTTGTCAAATTGTCAATTTTGTAATATGGGATAATGAAATATTCATGACTCTCCCCTTAAAAATATAAATTTAAAAAATAATTCACTTGTATTCCCAGTAAAGGACCAAAAGGGGACCATTCAATAATTACATAAGATGGGAGAATGAGATGAGGTGGAAAGAGATGGAGAAGAGTAGAATGGAATGAATGGAAGGGAGTAGACTCAAATTTACCAACTAAACAAAATCTGAATAAAATGCACAAAGCAAAATATCAGTCTTTCAATCTTTCTCTTTAAATGATAGTGGTCACCCCCTCCTGTTCAATGTGGTTTACCCAAAAGCTGAGGGCTGTACTTATATAAAGAGCTAATTCAAAATTCTGCTTAGAGCAAGGAAACATTGGTCTTTTCTGAGGAGCTGGGATGCTTCTACGTGAGCTCTTTGTTTCTTGCTCTGCTTTGTCTGGGGCTCAGTGGTCAGGAAGCTCAGGGACTTGTTCTATATTTATTTTGAGCACCTCCCCCTAGCTTTGACTTTCATATACATCTGTTCCCCACCCTGTCCTCTTGCTTAAGATGTTTTTGTACTTTGGTCCTTGTTTGAATGGTTCTGTTGTACCTGTGTCCTTTATAAGTCACCACAAATTTCCCTTTAAAAGTAGATGTCTTTGTATGCAGAGCCCATGGACACAGGTAACAGTGTGGAGAGGACCAAGGGAGGGAGTACGGGGGCTGGGTGGAGGCGGGCAAAGGAAGTGGAAATGGAGGGCATCTGCAATAGTGTCAGCAATAAAAAACTTAAATTAAAAAAATGAATGTACATTTTTTTAAGAAGATGCCACATAAAGATAGGAAGAAAAAAAGGGAGGGGAGGGAGGAAGAGGGAAAGAGGAAAACCCTCTTAAAAGTACACCTTTAAATAAGGTCTTACAAATTTAGGAGCCTTCATGGAGCAAACTCTAGGATTTATACATTTTTTAAACTTCAACTAAACTACTTTATAAGCTTTAAACACACAAACAAAAACATTTTCCCAAGTTTAATTTTTACCAGGGATTTTTTTTTCTCTGACACGTTTTCTCATGCTAATTTGCTAAATCCTACAAATACAGTCGTCTGGAAATATTGTTCTTTGGTGGGAAAGGGAAAAGCCAGATCTATTCTCAGCTACCATGGCATCACAGCCAAAGTGTCTGACTCCCTCTGTCTCTGCAGCTGATCCTTACAGCCACCCTTCTGTCCTGCACAGCTGCCCCCTCGGAGGGACACCTGTCCTTCTGCCCTCTCATAACTGGCACTATTTACTCTTATTTACTCCATTTCATTAGAAACTTCTTACAAAAGGGGAGTGCTGAGCACCCCCAGGGTTGAGTCCCTCCTAGAGAACCTGCACAGCCCACAGGAACAGCGCGGGATTGCAGAAAGCCTCTGCTGGGAGATCCTGGGGCTTTCCTTTAACCTCATTGTTCTACACACCACTGACCTCCCCACCCCCTTCCCCTGGGTCAGCTCTAGCACATAGGGTGACTAACAAAATATCTGTTGAATAACCAGGAAAATTGTTTTCTAAATTACATTAATTTTTTAGTAGTTTTTTTGTTTTATGCCTGAAAAGGGAGAACTTTGTGGGGAAACTGTGTTACCATTTTATTTACAACCCTAGAGAACACATTCTTAAACTTCCTTTTTGAAATGGAATTTTATTCTATGTATGTTTGAGTATGTGTGTATGTGTGTGTCCATAACTGTTTTTCCTTTCTTAGATTTAGCTAAACAAATCCAAACATGTGTTATTAATGGCTTTAATTATTATTCTTCTCTCCATTGAATCAGGAGTTGAAAGAGCATAAAGAGGCCAATTCAACCATATCACCTATCAGCTTGCCCACTCACACACACGTAGTCATGTACATACAACCATATCCCAGCGGGAGCCTCAATCTAGACATGGCACTTTTCAGTCCTGTGGCAGGTGCGGGACAGCGGCTCCACTCCTTCTCTCGCTCTAAGTGAAACATGGTAAGATGATATTACCTGTCAGTATCTTGACAGCCATCCAGGTGGTCAGTCCCAAAGTGACGGCGGTCAGCAGCCCACACACGATGGCCACCAGCACCCTGAGGTCACACACACGGCAGGCAGCCATGGGGAAGTCAAGCCACAAATCCACTCCTGGGTGAAAAGTAACGAGCGTCTTTTCTTCTCGAGCCAAGAAGTTTAATCAGAAACTATTCCAAAAAAATAAAAATATTTTTTTTTTCTTTTAGCGACCTTTCAGGCAGATATCCTTATTTTTCAGGAGATTTTTAGGGTCATCAGGGAGAATACAGTTCGAATCACAGAATGAAAGGTGCATTCTCTGCTTGCAATTTCCTCATCTTCACTGAATGAGAACATGAAAAAAGTGATTGGAGTGTGGAAAAAGGAAGAGAACTCAGGGCAATAAAGAAGGGGAGGGAATAACTAACAGGGTCAAAGAATAAAGGTCCTGACAAGCAAGGAAGTGGGGAAGGGAACAAAACAAAAGAAACCTAAAGAAGCCCTGGTTGGTGTCCTCGGTGGTTAGAGCATCTTCCTGCAGCAAACTGAAGGGTCATGCATTAAATTCCCTGTCAAAGGGATGTGCCTGGTTTGCAGGTTTGATTCCTGACCCTGGTCCAGGCCCATGTGGGAGGCAATCAATTGATGTCTGTCTGTCTGTCTGTCTGTCTGTCTGTCTCTCTCTCTCTCTCTCTCTCTCTCTCTCTCTCTCACTCTTAAATATGGAGTCAGACCAAAAGAAGGGAGAGAAGGGTGTCAATGCTTGGACGGGAATGGGGGTGAAGATCGGAGATTGATTACATTCCTGGTGATCAATCAAACAGGTAAACATATAACAATAATTAGAGCCAAGTTCTTTTCTCTAGGTCCCAAAGTGTGGTCTGCGTACCCCCAGGGGTACAGGAAGAGTTTGGTGGGGGTACAAGTTGCACCGGAGTTTGGTGGGGATGTGCACTGCACTGTGCTTAGCTGCGCCTAATTCTACGTTCTCATGAGTACGAAGGGTACTCAGCGTTATGAAAATTATAGAAGGGGTACACATATGTCAAGTTTGGGAAACACTGCTCTAGGAGAAGGGAGTTACACATATGGAAAGGAAGAGAATTTGAATGCCATAAGAATTTGAAAACAATCAGAAATATGAAAAGAGAAAAGCTGTATGTAGTTAATTCTGAAGGAAGATGGCTGTCAGAGGAATGCATGAGTGAGTTATAAACTTCTTATTCAAAAGGTGAGTATTTCAAAGGAAGGAATGTGATATTACTTCTTCTTTCTAATACTTGAACTAAATAATTTCCATTGTGCCTAAAAAAAACAAACCTGTAGTGTTGGATTGGAATTGGATGTATGTCAAATACAAACATATATATATATATATATATATATATATATATATATATATGAATGTATGTATATATTCATGAGTTTGTATTTATGTATATATCCAATTCCAATCCCAGTCCATATGTAGAGAGAGATATACATTTCAATATGCACTCAATAAATATATTTATATGCAGGGTGGGGCAAAAGCAGGTTTACAGTTGTTCATATGGAAAATAATACAGTAATTAATAAATAGTCTATACTACTAAAAGGGTAATATGCTATTAGACTGGGAGACCTTCCAGACAAAGCTATGGTGGTGGGGCCAAGGCAGAGGCGGTTAGAGGAGATCAGGCCAGGAGGGGAAGGCAAGGTGGGGAAGGCAGTTGGGGGTGATCAGGCCAGCAGGGGGGACAGTTGGGGGCGAGCAGGCCAGCAGTCACAGTGGTTAGGGGCAATCAGGCAAGCAGGGAGGTGAGCTGTTAGGAGCTAGCAGTTGGAGATTGTAGAGGGTGCAGGCTGGGCTGAGGGACAACCCCCACTCCATGCATGAATTTTGTGCACCAGGCCACTAGTATAAGAATAAACTGTTTTGCATACTCACAACTGTAAACCTACTTTTGTCCACCCTGTATATAAACAATATAGAAGTAAACATAGATGCAGAAGTGTGTTAATACACAAAAAATCGTATATGTGCATGTTTATGACATATATCACAAGTATACATATATTCTCTAGCTCTGGTCATTCATAAGGTCAGGAAGCAATGATAATCCATTAGCAATGAACACACCTGAAGCCCAGATCTTTATTTCTAAAAATAATTTCCCACTAAAAGGAAGAGGGCTCCCAGAAGCAATAGCTAATTCCCAGACTAGGGCACAGAAAATCCAAAATGAGTCTAGAACATCTTATCCCATAAAGCAAAGATATATTCAAGGAATGATGGCTACATATCAAATGGACACAGAATCCAGCATGAAGTGACTCTCCATTGCCAGATGAAGGATAATTTGAACATCAAAATAAATAATGCTTATAACAGATTAAGTAAAATAGGAAAACTACTGAATCTGAAACTCTGAGGTGTGCCCAGCAATCTGTTTTACTAGTCCTCCAATGTGATGCCCACTGCAGTTTGGTAACCACTGTTTGGGTAATTCTCTAAAGAGAGTGAATCAAGTTTGCAGTAAACCAGCAAATAGCAAGAGATTAAACTGCTTTTTTGTGCAATAGGAAATTCCTTTGTCAATATTTATAGGAAATGTCATAGCTTTAAAGATTGCCAAATATTCAGATAAGTATGCTAAGACACATATTTTTGTCACCTGTGAAACTACTATTCTTTTATTTATCTTATTCCTTTATTTAACCAGATTTGTATGGGTTTATACTCAGAAGTGTTAGGAAGTTCTGAAAGCCCTTTTATAGGCACACCTTTATTTTATTGCACTTCACTATATAGCATTTTATAGATGTAGCATTTTTTATAAGCAGAAGGCAAGACCCTTTCCCAGCAAAAGGATTACAACTTGCTTTATACTGCCTTTAATAGTCTGGAATGGAACCCATAATACCTTATCGATATGCCAATATTTCCCTACCATCTGGACTGTGACCCCAGTGGAGAGTTAAGTACACAGAAACCTGCTTACCTTACCTCCCATGATACTGAAGACAAAAGTCAACATCAACTTCCCCAGCTGTTATGCTTTAAAAATGAGCCTCTGGATTTCTCCATTAGAAAACCTCCTGGTAGCATTTGCTATTCCTTCGTTATTGAGAACTCAGAAACCTTTAACTCACCTATTTGTATATTTGTACAACCCTGCCACCCCCTTTTCTACCTGGCTGCCAATGAAGGGCAGGGAGAAAGGAATCAAAAAAGCTTTTCTTAACCAGGTTGCTGACCTTTTTTGTGCCTTCCCACTTCACCCCACATCACATGCCTTTGTTCTTCAGGCGCCGCCTACACTCCCGGAGCCAGGTGTTCCAGATAGGATCTCCAGGGCTGATTGCTTCATGGAAGGAAAATTAGCATCTGTTTGTGAAAAATGACTCAATAATAGCAGAAGTCTGCTGCTATGAAACTGAAATATGTACCCATTAAACTCTGATTAATGTAACCTTGAATTAACCTCTCAGTGCCCCAGAAGATGAAAAAAGGAACCCTCAAGTTCTTTTAGCTTTAAATTTGCTTCGCATCTTGCTCCAGAGAACCCCAATTCCTCTCTTCATCTCTTCTGACTTGATTCTTGGATCTTTCGTATCCTATTTTTTTCCTCTTTTATTTCTTCCCTTTAACATTCCCCAAATCTGAACTGGTGGGCATAGTATATGGTCAAGACTGAGAGAGGAAATTGTCAATATAGTTTGGTTAAGAAGTATAGTGTAGGAAGTAATTTTATTTTCTTCCTTTCCTTCTAGAAAGCTTAATTCAGGTGAAAGGCAAATCCAGAATTTATAGTAACTAGACAAGAGCTTCAGTCAAGAGACACGAGTCCCATGTAACACTAGGATTTCTGAAAATAGTAACATCAAATCATAATATCTTACCTGAGGCAAGATGAGTTGGTATTTTCAATGTCCTGCACAAACTAGCATTATTATTTATACCTTAGCAAGATAATATTCTGAATCCTAAATCTCTCCATTTAGAATACTTGACAGAAATCATTGGTACAAATACCAATGATCTATTGTTCCCTAACAGACCCCTCCAAAATTTAGTGACTTAAAACACAGCACCATCTATTTGCTCAATGTCAGGTAGTTCGGATAAGACTTAGCAGGGATGGCTGTGTACCACACGATCATTTAGCCAAGTCATCTGGAAGTTCTACTGGAGAATCAAGGATCTGAGATGGCATTTCTCACATGCCCAGGGTCTCAGCTAATGTGACTAGACGGCCAACTGGGCTGACCCTCTCTCTACCTCATGTTTGTTTTGTCCTCCAAGGCCATCTCCTCCTGAAGCCTTTCCAACACAACAGCCTTCTTCACAGGGAGGCTGGGTTCCAGCAGTCTAAGCTGGAAGATTTCTTAAGACTTAGGAGCGGCCGAAACCGGTTTGGCTCAGTGATAGAGCGTCGGCCTGCGGGACTGAAAGGGCCCATTCTGGCCAAGGGCATGTACCTTGGTTGTGGGCACATCCCCAGTACAGGGTGTGCACAAGGCAGCTTATGGAGGGTTCTAACTCTCTATTCCCTCTCCCTTCCTCTCTGTAAAAAAATCAATAAAGCCGAAACCGGTTTGGCTCAGTGGTAGAGCGTCGGTCTGCGGACTGAAAGGTCCCAGGTTCGATTCCGGTCAAGGGCATGTACGTTGGTTGCGGGCACATCCCCGGTAGGGGGTGTGCAAGAGGCAGCTGGTCAATGTTTCTCTCTCATCGACGTTTCTAGCTCTCTATCTCTCTCCCTTCCTCTCTGTAAAAAATCAATAAAATATATATTTTTTAAAAATCAATAAAATATGTTTTTTTAAAACTTAAAAAAAAAAAAAAAGGCTTAGGAGCATAGTCTACTCAGTATCACTTTTACCACATTCTATTGATCAAAGAAAGTCACAAGACCAGTCCAATTTCCATAGTAAAGGGGGCTACAAAAACGGATGAATTTAAGAAGGCAGAATTCATTGGGGGCTAAGATGTTTCATTTCATGTGTCATCTTGGCTAGACTGTACGTAGTACCTAATTATTAGTCAAACATTCTAGATATTTCTGTGAATGTATTTTTTTTTAATGAGACAAATATTTAAACCTCAGTTTGAGTAAAGCAAATTACCCTCATGCAAGTAGTTGAAGGCCTTCATAAAAAAGACTGAAGAAGGTGGAACCCTGCCTGTTGACTGTCTTGGACTCAGGCTACAGCATCAACTTTGCCAGCCTGCCTTCTTGGGAGCCTAAGAGCTTATCCTGTAGATTTGGGACTTGCTAACTTCCACAATCACATGAGCCAATTTTTAAAAATATATCTTTATTTACCTACCCCCTTGGTTCTGTTTCTGGAGAATCCTGACCAATACAGTGATTTACAACATGTACCACACATTTTCCAGATAAGGCTCCTACTCCCCAGAAAGCTTAATAATAATGTGTGACTCTCAAGGATTTT